GCAACATTTACGTACATGTACCAGGCCCTGGCCTACAGGCCAGGGTCAGGCAGGTTACTCTACAGGTGCGTGAGAAAGATCCACCACCAGTCACTCGTCTGGTTCCTATTTTGTATTGCGTTGCGGGCTACATGTACATATTATAAATGTGTAAGCTTTACAAATATCCGACTACAATGCAACGGACAACATTTTGAGCAAAACTATTTTGTTTTCAACATGTTCAAAAAGTTGGTCAAAAACGGTCATTTTTGAACCAAGGGATTTTGTTCAAAATTCTGCAGATGAAAGACCAACCCTTTGGCGACATACATGGACATACAGTCTAAGAAATAAAAATAAAATGTTAAAAATTGTTTGCAAAAAGATCCTTTTTGTTCATAGATTTTAGGGGTGTTACAAACGAGGCGACTAAACGGTATGCACATTCATCACATGGGCTCGTGTGCGGGATAGAATGTACTGTTTACGAAACCAAATATTACTTTGTTTCTGATGCCATCTGGAGATGGACAACTTGTGTCCTCATTTTTATATGAAAGAAAAATATATCGTACAACGTGGGAATGTTTTTTGTAGGCATAATTTTTTTTTTTTTACTTAACATACTGTACACCCCTTTTTTACAAGTGGAAGTGGCTTTCAGCCCCCTCTCCCACAGGTACTCATGTACATGTATACATGGACATGAGATATTGCTATATTGTACGTACATGTACACGTATGTTTGTACACGTAGTTGACATATTTACACAAGTCCTTCCATGCACTATGGCCCCCCCAAAAAATGTGCTATAATACACCTAGTACATGTGTGAATTTCCATTGTCAACTCAGAGTTACATGTATGTAGACACCTTGCACAATGGTTCAGTTTAAAGTCTAGATGTTAATGCTGCGCTCTTGATTCATTGCAATTAGCCAGTTTGGTTTTCAAACAGCCCATGCCCAGTACCAGGCTATTTGGGAACAGCTACGCATGCGTGCGTGTGTGCAGTAGTTCTACATAGCCATACATGTACATGTACCAGTACGCAGGCTCATGTGCGCACTTTTTTCCTGAAAGACCTTTGCATCAGGACGCAGGAATGCAGAGTGTGGGTCGTCTGTGAAATGTCCAAACAAGTGTATTAAAATTGCCAAGTTGGTGCGTGCAAGATTGTTCATGTACCAGTACAGGCCCCAGACAAATTTAATTAATGTGTAATGCCAGGCCAAGCCCTTGAAAATATCTGCCTGCAGCTGATTGATGTGGACATGATAAATGCAGTGTACGGCCTTATCATACCACAGACCCGTTTGAGTAGAGGATCCGTGGTCATACACACATGTACATGTACATTGTACATAGTGAACACTGAAACCTAGCGTTGCCTGGCAACCTGCACAAGGCCCAAAAAGTTGTGTTCAAACAGTCTCCGTGGCAACCAGTCAACATGCTAGTGGGAGTGTTGGACCATGACTGCTACAGGTGCTATCCCCGCAGTTATCACAGGACTGGTTAAAAGAAATCTGTTGGCCTGATGCAGAATCGGCCACATGCAAAGAGGAAACTAAATTGGTCAATGAACAGGAACATAGCATGATTGTAGCGGTATGGTACATCGAACTGGGTCTAAAGAACACTAATCCATTGTGGTTTAATGCTCTGCTGTGGCAACTCAGACAAGATGTACACTCTAGTCAGCAGTCAATGCCTTGTTTTTCTATTGTTAACAGTGTTCAAAGGGGGGTAGGGGGTGTCATGCACAATTGGCCACCACAAAGGGGATATTATTACTGGGAAAACTCCTTCAGGCGTTACTTGTAGTTGTAACAGACTTTTTTTACTATAAAATCCGCTTACACTCAAAGCAGAAGAAAAAAATTCACTTGTGGGAACTAAGGTATGAAAAGGTTTTGTTTAAGACCCAGTCAGTTGGGGATAGGGGTCATTCTATAAACTAGGGGTCCAATTTTTTGTGTGTCCCTGTCACACCCTACAGATGATTTTGTGTGTTCAAATTTGTACCTTTTAATTTCCAAGAGTGATGAATCAATGCAGATTACCTGCCAAGCAAATAGAAATTGCTTGAAATCAATTTCAGTGATATTTCCATGTCAAATGACTCGGGTTAGATGTAAAAATGTCATACTTTTGGACCTGAATTTATAGAAGGATATATATCTCGTGTATATTGTACAAATCAAGCACAAAATATGTACTACATGTACTGGTAGTACAAATGTATACATGAGCCAAATAGTGTGTGCTACATGTACATTCAGGGAAGATTTTGCAGACCTGGAAGGCAGCCATTTTAGGCTAATATGCCCAAAGTTTTGTTTTGAATAAGTAATAAATATTGACTTGTGTTATTATTAAACGAGATGTTTCGAATCATTCCTACGCATGTTATTGGTTCAGTTTATTCGGAAAAAATATGTAGAGTTTCTGTTCCTGAATTTTGGCGGAAGTTTTTATATATTTTTGGAGAAGGATTTATTTATCAGAACACCAGCACCTCATTCTCTAAGTGGTTGATTTTTTTGGTCATTTTTGGGTCTTAAAATGTGAATGCTTCAATGCCACAAATACCGTGCAATTCCAAACACACACCAAAAATAGCAGTTACATACATACGTATACATCTATACACATGTATAACCATCATTACACATTATGACCACAGTCATAAAAATTGGAGCAGCATTGTGTACAATGTACATGTACACGTATAGTGCTTTAAAGTAGACGTGAGATTAGGTATGTTTGACTTGAATACATACTGTACATGTACAGAGCTGGCTTGCATTGTGTTATTTCTTTTCTGGAAGTACATGTACATGTACCGGTACATCATTTAAATGGAGAAAGCAACAACATTTTGTTTTTTTTGTAAATAAAATACACATGTAAATTTCCATGTGCTGGAACCCGGTGTCATCCAAGGCAGATACCGGGCAGTGCATGGTTCCATAGCTCTGCATATGTGACGAATTCCATGGGGTGCTTGGGCGCCTCACGCACCCCCTTAGCCACGCCACTGAAAGTACACTGTAGCTATAAATCTCTGATAAATAGATAAAAGACTGGTACGGTACAATGTAGCTGCAGCAATCAGTTCATTATGAAAATAGAGCGATCTGAAGTACACGTACACTTCACAAAGCTTCAACATGAACAGACAAATCATTTTGATGCAAACCTACAGTATATGTAGTATTAAAGAGATTCAAAACATGGTTTTCTTTATGTCTGTGTCATGGTCTGGTACATTGGAGTTTATAACATACATGTACATGTACATGTACCTACAGTTGGGGAGTCAGGTTGGCAAGGTACATGTATATGTAGTTCTTTCCTCGCCTTCCACCTCTGTGGTCCCGGGTTCGATTCCCGGCCTGGTCCACATGTGGAATGGGTTTCCAGTCCCTGCCTGACTCCGTGGGTTTTACCTAGAACATTCCTCTGGGGTTTTCCTCCCACCTCTAAAACTGTAACTGCTTCTTACTGTCTCCTCTTTACTAATGTTGGTGAATGTGGGTCGTTTGGCGGCTGCCTGAGGCACCCGTGTATGCCATCGGCTCAACTACATGTATGTTTAAATGTATTCATTGTTCCATGCTTAATGTCTTCATTGTACAGCGCATTTGAACATATCTACTTTATATGAAATTCGCGCTTTATAAATGAATAAATTATTATTAGCATACATGTAGAAAACATGCACTGAATCACACAGTCTGGCAATTTGACATTTGTAGTAAAGTAGCGGTGATGAACTGGCTCTATGATAGAACATTACAGTAATTTGCTAAGCTGTAAGCCTGAAGTACCGGTATTCAAGGTGCCTCCTTTATTAGCTTTAGCTCTACACTGTTTAGCAACAGGACAATGCTAAGAGCTTGCCAGTCAACAAACAAACCAACCAAGTAAGTTTGCCAGGGTTAATATAGGGATCTCAAGTGGAATGGAAACCAATCCGGGCACAGGCCTACTCAATTTACCTGTTGCCGTAATGCTTGAAATTAAACAACAGGATTCCTGAGAAATTGGAACCAAGGTACTACAAGTGCATAGTAAAGATACAATGTACAGTAAACATGTAACTTAAATGCTTACAAATATATGTTTGTCTTTATTTCAGGTTGTTTGCATACATGTATGTACATATGTGTACATTGTTCATTGGGTTATGAATGTGAGTACCACAATGTGCACATGCAGACATGTACACATGTACATGTACTGGTACTTTTTTAACTGAAAGGAATCCAATCTCCATTGGCATACATTTACATGTACTTACAGACTTACACTTTGTTTTGTGGAGGGAGGCAGGAGTTGGATGAATGTTAAGAGGCGTTTGGGGCTCTTGGATAGACAGCGATGCATTTGAATGCCTTCCCAACATGATTCATTGGCCGGGAGTTTGTGTTTTGCTCGCCAATTGTTCACATTTTTGCTTTTATTTAGCAGTCAGTTCATACTGAGGGAGTAAATGTACGTTGTTTACAATGGTGAACTGTGTATTTGTCTTTATCGAAAATTGATATAATATACTTTTCATGTAAATTTATGTTAATGTACACATGTACACGTTTACCCACAAGTGGTAGACCCAACATTTACGAAAAAGTGGGTGGATGGGTGGATGTTTCATTTATACAGGGTTCCCAAATAGATGTGAATCTAAACATGTGAGTGCATGTACATGTAGGTTACAATTTAGTAAAATTTCTGGATTCAAAGTTATTACAAGAAAGATGAATGGATGGGAAATATCAGAAGTTTCTCTCTCTTGTAAGAAATTGAAAAGGGGGCTGCATGCATGTTGGTACGCCCCCTCATCTGTCTTTCTACAGTTGTCAGATAATACATTGGGAAATTTTACCCATAAGAAAATCCACCCTTGAAACTGTGTTTTATGGAAAGTCTTGTTTGCACCCAATACAAAGGCAAAGCACCTTCACAGAATACATGCACCTTTCAAGTTTCAGTCCGTGTTAGTGCAAACATGGTAGTGGTGTCCTGGTACAATCTTCTCTCAAAATATACAGTACATCCAAAAAGTACATGTACATCAGCCTCAGTGAAAAACATGTACGGTACATGTATATGTTTGCCTTCGTGCCAGTCTCTTATTGTTTGTATCAGGAGCAGAGACTGTAACTGGTCTTCTCAGATATTCTGTTCAGATGCCGTGCTGTGTTTGTACCTGTACATAAAGGATCTATGAGCTGTTCAAATGGAGACTTTGGCCCATGTTGGCTTTGGTTGTTTAGCTTGCGGCACAGCTGAACTGGTACTGTACAAATTTGGTTTGCATGCGGATGGCATGAGGCAATGTTTAACTGGAATTTGCTCCATGCCAATTGAAAGGAGATTTACTTGATGTTAGTCACTCATAAACTTTAGGGTTTTGTAGGGATTGGCAAAATTTCCTCCTTTGTGCTAACTATAGATACAGGTTAAATCAAACTTTTGTAATTTTAAAATTCTTCAAAATGCGTCTGTGTGTCTCAGTTAATGCTATTTTCAATATTTTGTTTCATTGTTGTAAAGGGTATTTGCTGTCGTTTTTGGCTTTCTGTTATGCTAATGAATTTCAATATTCAAAGGCAAAACTGTGATGTCATTCAGGAAGAAAATCACAATAATACTTTGGTCACATGTACATACATTTAAATGCCACCAAGTTTCTGCATTTTTAAACTTCTGCTGGCGTAAACCTCCTGTCATGATGGTGTTACCAGTAGCGCAGAGCAATAAGCAGGCAATCCTTTCTCTGAAGTGTTTTCAAGTTGAGTAGATTTCTAGGTTCACAATTTTAACAGAAAAAAAGCTTTGCACTATATCATGTCTTTCTTGGATGACATCACTGCAACAGAGCCCTCAGTTGCCCATGAAAGCATAATGTCTTTTAAATGCTTTCAACCTACATGTAATATGGATATTAAATAGTTTTTGTTTAAAATATAAATTGTAGAAAAATTCATTGCATCTTCACTTTGAGATTGAAGAAGTCATGAAACCCTCGATTCACACACTGCAAGTCCACACATACATGTACCTGTTTTACACACCAATACAAAGTGTGGACTTTCCTTTGTTCTCGTGTGGTTAAGGAAACTTGAGGAAAATGCTCCTTTTTCTCTAACTAGGATAACTCCTTCGAGTTTGATTTTTGATGGTGATTCCCTGGACTATTCCTCTTCATTTTGCCACAGGTACATGTAACCTTGACCCCAAAATGTCTCTGAAACTGTTTTTCAGAGAGGGGGAACATTGTGTGGACGTGTGCGAGTCCACACTACGCCATCCCACCCTACATTATGTGGACTTCTTTTGTACAGAGGTCCACACTATGTACAGTATGGCACGCCTGCCCAGAAATGATGGCCAAGGGTCTACATGTTTTTGTGCACATCGGGGGGGGGGAGTTACTGAATTTGACTGAACAATCTTGTTTATTTGTTTCAGTTTACCTATTGTAAATTTTCAGAGTACCAGACTCTACTCAATCTATGTACCGGTACCCTGCTTAAATTCAATTTGATTTTAGGATATAAAGCAGTAATGAACGTTGTTTCTCAGATGTTTATCTGCATACATGCACATGTACATTTTGCAAGTACATACATTTTTTATACCGTATGTCACTAATAAGGCTATGATAAGTTTATTTTAAATGATACATGTACATGTACATGCAGGGGTGAAATTTCTCAGCTTTTTAGCCGATTTCAGCTTTTTTATTTTGGATTTTGGCTTTTTTTCCTGACTGGCTCTGTACAAAAGTACATGTATAGGAGATTTTCACAGTTCAGCTTCTTTATGCCTTTTTTCAGCTGTTTTCAGCTATTTTTTATCATTGTTCAATCTCACCCCTGTACTACATGTACATGTATCCTCCCTTTTCTGAATTTCCTTCATCTGAAAAATCGATAACGTTTTGCATTGCTGTGCCTAATGTCTCCTTGACTGCATTTCCACAATGTGCTGTCTTTAACGCATCGTACATGTACACTTGTTTCCAGAAATACAAGTGTACATGTATGTATTCAAAGTTTTGAGTGCCCAAGGTCATGTTTCCAGCTCAGGAAATGACAGGAGGAGATAGCAGGTGCACTGCTCAAGTCAGTCAATCGTGCCAGCCTGTTTAATTGTTTGAGGCAAGCTACTGTGCAATACAGTATGCAATGTTACAATTGGTGAATTAG